AGGTTTGTGCTCAAAGGGCTTCATACATAATGCCACATGAAAGTCAATAGAATGGAACAAAGAGATGCCAGGCTATCAACATGGTTGCTGCACAATAAAGAATAAGGGTGAGTATTTAGGGTAAACCAATCTACTTTTGTTTTTCTAATATGTTTAGACTACTACTCTTTCCTTCTGAAAATATCATTTGATAACTGGTACAACACAATCTCACTCTAGCTCCTTCTGCTCGACATATTCATTTCAGTAAGTCACCCTAGCTGAGTGGCTGTATCATTCAAGTTAAGCTCACGACTTGTTTATTTTGTTTTAACCATGGTGTGTTACAACCCACAATACCTATCCATACCGAAAAACAAAATTTGTAGCTCGCACTAACCAACATAATTTTTTTCCTGAATTTACACTTGCAATACCACATACCAAAATGGATGCGGTAGTTACATGGAATAAGTAGGCTGTTGAAAATAATATGTAAATCTATCGATGCTCCAAGTATATATTAATTAAAAGCCAACCTAGTGTAATTTTCATTTAAGAATAATATAGCATTGGCCCTGCGATATACTTGTATGCGGATTTTCTCAGAATCACACTTGCTTCGCTATTTTGTACACCGGCACGCTCTCTTCTATACTAAGCGTATGTTGGCTACTTTAGTAGCACCTATCCATATCTTCACTTTGCTAGGATATCCGCTGGAAGAGAAGAAGTGAAGACACTGTTCTTCAACTTTGTTGCCTATGCATACATACACATATTCAGTTGACGAAACATGGTTTACTTTATACTTACACACATGATCCTAAATCTGAGAAACCAGAAATGGCCTAGTCAAGCTACAACCTTTGAACACATACCTTATTTTGCCAGATGGTGTGCAGTGTGATGGCCACGAACAACAAGACCTGGACCAAAATACCGAAGATGATTCCCATCCAAAGGCCCTGCCCACCTGTATAAGGAAGCAAGTGAAGGCCAGTTCAAAAGCAAGCATGAGAACACATGATAACCGAGCTAATATGTTCACTGTTCGTTGTTTTTTCAGAAGGGGATGACCCTGGCCTCTGCGTAAGTGATGCACACAACAAGTATTCGCTGATGCATACCAAAACATTTTGTGGCTTCACATCCCTGTGACAGACTCCAGGAACAGTAATGAATGTACACGAGCTCCCTGAATAGACACCATCAATGTAGAATTGACTTAGAATAGTTGCACAATGGAAGACACACATTTCACATTCATTCATTGACAATTCACAAACCTGATAGGTGTAAAGCTTGACGTAGATAAGTGACATCCCATGTTTGGCATTACTGTAGTTCTTAAGCCCGCGGTAGAGCGTCTCCGGGACATACTCCATGACAAGGTTCAGAAACAACTCACTCCACTTGTGGTTGAGAAGAAGCAGTGCTTGAGGGAGACAACATTGGAATGGTTAATCGAACGCATAAGCTGCAGCTCCCGACAGTACCTTCTTAATGGCCACCGTCTCCCCAGTTTACAAGCATTTAGCCTACACATGCAACCATTTCGCTAAACATCAGGCTGGTAATCGACAACACAAACAGAGAAACAAACATTGGCTAGAGCAATCACCTGAAAGACGGCGCCAAACAAACCAGTGCCCAAAATGTGCTCTGCCATGTAGCTTTTGCGTTCCATCTGGTTTCATTTTTTCCAGGTCTGAATTTTGAGCAGGCAAATAAACTCGTCTCATGGAGCAGCAACTGCCAAATCCACCTTCTTTTGGCACTCTGGTTTTCCATCACATGGCTTCTTTGTCCAGTGATTTTCAGGAAGGTGGCAATCTCCCAACATATTTCTCATAACAACTAACAGGCAATGCCGTTCCTACCGGTGTGACCACCAGCAGAACCCATTCGGGCTTCCATGGCCTTATCCTCTATTATATATTTATATGAAGACTGGTTAGTGAAATAGGCAAAGTAGTAAAGTAACTGAGTTGTGTATCATAAGTACAAATTTCTGATTACTGCAAGTAATCAGTAGTAGTAGCATCTGGAACGAAATTTCAGTTTGGACTCAACAACACAACTCACTAAGGCAATACTGGCCGTAAAACTCAGGCCAAGAGACACAAGGGAAACATAAGAGACGGAGTGCACATGTCATCGGCCTGAGCTCGACCGCATGTTGTCCTCGTTTCCTCCAACTCGAGGGCGGCGTGCGGAGGCAGGGGAGGAGTCGCCGCTGGCGAGCAAGAGGGATAGGAACAGGGCAAATCGGAGGGAGCAATAGGGGCGGAAGGAAGACCAGCGAAGCTGCCGACGACGTCCTTCCCTGCCTCGTACCCTCCCCAGATCGGGCCCCGGAACAGCCGCCACCGTCTCTGTCGTCTCGTGCCCGAGCGGCACCTCATAGCAGCTCGACGCCGGCACCACCGCTCCTCTCGCGCCGCCGCCGACGCATCCGCCGCTCCCCCGCCTTGAGCCGGCCCGCCGCCATGGAGCCTTAGCGGGAGGAGGAGAACACGAAGGGGAGGAGGCGGAGGGGGGACACGGGGCTTGAGAGCAGAGGGATTGGTGGCTGGAAGACGCGAGGGGAGGAACCAGATCGAGCAGAGCAGCGGCGATGGAGGGAGAGGAGGCTGCCGGAGTTGGGGTTGGGTGGTTGGGGCGTGTGCCCCCACCCGCTACCACCCGTCGGCTCTGCAGGCCGCGCCCCGCGCCACCCGCGTGAGCCCCGCTGCTGCTTCTGGGCGCCACCCGCGCGCTGCTGCTCGCCCCACCTGACCGCACCGTGCGCGCCTCGTTCGCGCACCGCACGCGCCGGCCGCGCCCTGTCCCGCGCACGCCCGGCGCTGCTCGCTTCTGCTGCGCCCTTCCGCAGCCGCCACGCCCGCCGCCGCCGTGGCCCGACCGCGTCCGCCTCCCTTCACCGCCCGCCTACGCCTGCCGCTGCCTCCCGCTTCGCCGCTGCGCGCCCACAGCCGCGGCGACGGCTGATGGAGGATGGGGAGGCGTCGTGGGAAGAAAGAGACGAGCGGCGACGGCGACCACGCGTTGGGGCTTCGAGAGGAGCAGGAGAGAAGTGGAGGGGAGGAGGAGGCGGCGCAGCGAGGAGGGGACGCGGATGATTGGTCCGAGAGCGCTAGGTTTCCGGGAGAGGATTTGGCCTGGCTCTTGTCGAGGATCTCGTTTTCGGGAGTGGATTACTCTGCCTCCAGGAAACCCTCCCTCTGCTTGATGGCCCCCATAGGCTCGCGACCCCACCCGTCATCCTCTTCCGTAGTAGTCACGAAGGTTAAAAAAAATGGACGGCTGACCAGACGCCAGCAGCCAAAAAATACACTGTTGCGCTTCGAGCAACCCAATCCTGCGGCCGAACGCGTCGCGCGCGCGCAATGGCCCGAGATGGGCGGGTACTCTAGCAGCTTTTATATGTTAGATACGTACAAGTTCACATGGCACGGATGCGAGTGCAACTGCGAGACATCAACCTTTATGCTTGTTCGATTCAACTGGAAAAAAAAGAGTTGCATATGTTCTTCTGGGTAATTTAAGTATGATTCTCAGATGCCTTGACATGTGGTGGGCGGGAATGCACTACCTCAACTACTGAAAATGAAGCAGCTTGCATGACAACGCAAAGTGCTGAAGCTGCACCCGCTGCTGCTACTATTACTAGTACAACCAAAACAATACCTACAGGTTCAGAGCCAGCATCGACAGCAAGACAACGAGAACAAGGTTAGTCATAGCAAATTTAGTGGACGCCCTTTTAAAAATATACTACTACCTCCTTCTGAAAAAGCTTGTCCAAAATTTGTCTCTCAAATGGATCTATCTAGCACTAACTTGACGAGGGACAAGCTAGAGTATTATACTTCAACCTTTTGATATTTGTTTCGACTTATGTCATAGCTTGTTTCTCTTTGTTGATAGCAGACTTGAGTGTCAACCAATTTTATTTTAGCCTTTTGAAATCCATCCCTCTGTCTGACTGCATACAGGTTGTACTTCTGCCCCTACTCTGCTACCTGTTCTACGACAATTTTTACAGTTCAATGGATTTGTGTAGGTCACATGCCTGGCGTATTTTATTTTGGAGACTGGATTTTCTACTCTCGGCTATAGTACACCCGAGTTAGCAAAAACTTTGAAAAAACTTTATCAAACGAAATCCAAAAAATCTGAAATTTTGCTACATCAAACTTTATCATATATTTGAGGTTCTTGCCAAGTTTCATCCAAACATAACTTCCGATGAGCTCTCGCCGAAAAAAACAAAATCATCGCTGAAAGTTTTGTGCATTGTTTGAGCAGTGGTTTTGTTATTTTTGGTGAGACCTCCTCATATATTATTTTTAGATGAAATTTTGCAAGAACCTCACACATCTGATAATGTTTCATGTCCCAAAAGTTTAGATTTTTTGGACAATGTTTGATCACATTTTTTCAATCTTTTGCTAACTCTGGTGTAGTACTACACCCGAGAGTAGCCACTACTTTTCGTTTTTTTAGCCCGTCATGAGGCCTGCCTACTGGAATTAGCTGCCTCTCTAATGGTGGCCTAATGCATTTTTTAAAACTTTCCCACTTGTACTAACATATTCTCAATCTACTAGAGGCTACATTATCTTTGCCTACAATGTATTGTATTGCTTTTGTATGTTGATGAATATGTTGACAATCAATCAAATACCACAATCTTCAAATTAAATGACATCCCTATACACTGTAGCACGTTGAGCAGGGTGAAGAGCATTTACATGCCATTCATTTGATTTTTAGTGCAGTTGCGACTTGCCAATGTATCTTCATAGTTGAGAGCAAGGTTGAAAAGTATTTTTTTTTGTAAACAAAAGAAGAGTCGACACATAGTTCATCATCGCTTCACTATGTACACACAAACAAGAACATACAAGGGCAATACGGCATCACGTTCAGATGGACGCCATCACGCCAACACACTAGAAATTTACCACACCCTGCGTAGCCGCCCCGGCCTACCCCATGCATGCCTTTGACTCTCACGCGGCGCCGTCGACGCGGGCCTTGGTGACGCCGGCGCAGGCGTCGACGAAGTCGCCGTCGATGAAGTCGGTGGAGAAGACCTGCAGCTTGCCGCCGAGGCCCCTGGCGAAGGCCTGGGCGATGAAGAAGCGCGCGAAGCGGTGGATGCGCCGCGTGACCGGCTCGACGAGCAGCACCGGGTTGTCGGTCTGCGGCGTCAGCGTGTTCTCCACCCGGTAGAGGAACCTCCGTGCGGCCGCCGGGTCGGGCTGCTGCGCGAGGGACGCGAGGTTGCCGTCGAACTTCTTCTCCGGCAGGTCCGTGTTGATCCAGTTGTCCCTCAGGTACCCGCCGCTCCACAGCGGCCCGCCGCGCGCCGGCGCCGGCGAGTTGCGCGGCTTCCACACGCAGATCACCCGCCGCGGCAGCAGCTCGGCTATGGTCTTGCGGAACACTGCCTCGTCCTGCGGGATCAGGTGCTCGCCCAGCCGCTCCACGAGGTACTTGGCGAACTCCGGCGGGTCCTCGTGGCCGAACTCGGTGCGCACCTCGAGGACGAGCACCTCTGAGGCGGTCTCGGACAGGAAGCGCCGCACGTCGTCGATGACGACATCGACGGTGTAGCTCGCGACGAGCGGGCCGTGGCAGACGCGGCGGTCCTTCTGCACGCGGACGTCGAGGAGGCGGCAGCCCGTGGCGAGCTGGTGGTAGACGGAGAGCGACTGGCACTGCGCGAAGGGGCGGGTGACGAAGGGGACGCCGATCTCGGCGGTGGCGGAGTTGTGGGTGCCTGGCCACACCACCTGGTGCACGCGCAGCCGCTCCGGCCCCAGCTCCGCCATCCACGTCTTGCGGTCGGCCGGGCGGTGCCCCGACCCCGGGAAGTCCTGGCCCGAGGCGGATTGGCGCCTGGTCAGCGCCTGCTGCTGGTTGGCCACGTCCTTGACGCGGTTGACCTGTCCCGAGAAGAAGGCGCCTATGGCGGCCATCCTAGGTCTATGGAAAGAAGAGCTAGCTGGCTCCAATGGAGTTCTGACCTGGATCGTGGACGGTGCGAGCTCGAGATCAGCGTGTCTATCACCTGTGCGTGTGACGACGACGAGCTAGCTGCGGCGGAGATGTATATGGCTAATCGTTGGTTTGTTGCGAGCTCGGAATCGGATGGATGCTAGGAGGAGGAGGAGGAAGCGAGGCGTGTTGTTTGTTGGCCGGACTGACTGGCCTGGCGTTCTCTTGTGGCACGGTTGACCTGGCTAGCTCTGATCTCGACAGATTGTATTGTATACGTACTCGTACTACGGAGCACGTCGTTGAGCTGGATATGGATTGGTGGCGCGAAAACACGAGCTTTAGCTACGGATGGGCATGGACATGTCCTAGTCGGAGATGCACACATATACTGTATATGGCTGTTGATCGACTTTGTTAGAGCTCTAGCTGGCACCCACATGGCAAACGTGCGTGGTCAACAACCTTCTTGATTTCATATTAGGAGAAAGGAGCACATGATTTCTTTTTGTTAGATGGATGGATGGAGGAGGACTCGAGGCAAGTTCTTTGCGAGCGCGTTTCCATTTGTTAGTTGGTCTGACCGGCGTTAGGTAGATGCTGTGCTACTGGCAGGACGGCCGAACACCATTCTTTTAGAAAGACGAGACCATCCAGGATGAAGGTATATTTTTATAGAAGAAACTTTAGGGCATCTTCGACACATTGTATGTTAGAGCAACTCTAGCAGATCCCGCAAAAGCCGTCAACCTGCAAAATTCCGGCGAGTATGCAGGTTCGTCCCAATTTTTTGGCTAGAACAGAGCCCGCATGCGAGCTCGGCCCAATTTCCCGGCCAGAACAAAGCCTGCATACTCGTCCGACCCGTAATTTTTTTTGCCGCGGACCCCCCTCTCCACATTTCTCGCAGCCGGTGACCCCCTTCCGCCTCCAGCCGCCATGTGTGGCCGCATGTGGAGCTCCGGACGCAGCTCCGACAGCAGATCCGGCGACGGCAGCGACCTCGAGCGCGAGCGGCGCGTCCGGTCGGACGACGCGAGGAAGCGCTGAGCGAGGAAGTGGACCAACTGCGGCCTCTCTCCGCCGCCGAGCTACGCAATTCCCCACCCCCACTCTCCACATTTCTCACCGCCAGTGACCCCCTTCTACCTCCAGCCGCCATGTGGGGCCGCATGTCGGTGTCAAAATCGGCCGATCTCGGGTAGGGGGTCCCGAACTGTGCATCTGAGGATCGAAGGTAACCGGAGGCAGGGGACACGATGTTTACCCAGGTTCAGGCCCTCTTAATGGAGGTAATACCCTACTTACTGCTTGATTGACTTTGATGAGTATAGGGGTTACAAGAGTTGATCTACCTCGAGATCGTAATGGCTAAACCCTAGATGTCTAGCCTGTATGATTATGATCGCCCCCACGGACTAAACCCTTCGGTTTATATAGACACCGGAGGGGCCTAGGGTTGTACAGAGTCGGCTTACAGAGAAATGAAACTTCATATCCGAACGCTAGAGCTTGCTATCCATGCAAAGGAGAGTCCCATTCGGGCACGGGGGAAGGCCTTCTATCTTGTATCTTCACGGCCCATGTCGCATAGCTCGGGCGCCCGGGGACCCCCTAATTCAGGACTCCCTCAGTAGCCCCTGAACCAGGCTTCAATGACGATGTGTCCGTCGCGCAGATTTTCTTCGGCATTGCAAGGCGGGTTCCTCCTTCGAATACTCCAAAGCAGCTGAAAAAAGAACTATATCCGGCTCTGTACAGTAGTTAAAACCCTGAACCATAAGGGTGAAATACTTAAACAAAATAAGTCATGTCTACCGACAGCTTTTTTGGCGAGATGTTATGTTCTGGCCTTATTATTATTTCAAACCATTTTTAGCCTCCCGCTTCGTGTTTCGAGGCGCGGTCTTCATTGACACGTCTTGTCAAAGCAGAGATCGTGTCCCCTTATTGCGGGATTCTCATCAATACGGGTTTGGGTAATCCAACCGTGCCGTTTGCACGACCCCTTGGGAATAGGCGGGTTTTAAGGCTTGTGAGTCAAGATGGCAACGGGGCCCCGAAACCCGCGTCCCCGTGGGTTTTTACCCTATTAGGGGACGGGGATGGGCGTCTTTTCATCCCCGCGGGGTTGTTGTTGGGCACATTATACAACCCAACACATTTTGTGGGTTTGCACCCGTTTCGGTAGTCCCCGAACCCGAAACTCGGTAAACCCGGCAAAATACATTTTTTACCAACCAGTGCTCCTGCGCGGCCCAACCCAAAACTACCGAGCCCCCCCACCCCCTAGTGTCGAAGGCCAAACAACCAGCATCGCCCGCTCCTTTCCCCCTCACTCGGGCCCTCATCTCTCTCTCCCACAAAATACCTAACCCTAAACCTAGGACCCCAGGCGCCGCCTGGCTCGATCCCATCTCGCAAGATCCGCCGACCACGATCTTCGCCGGCGAGCCTCCTCCCTCCACGTCTTCTCCCCTGCCGCCGGTCTAATCTGGAGAAAGGGCGTCGCCACCGGTGACGAACTCAATGGTGACCTCTTCACGTCCCAAGTCGGGTTGTTTTTTGTTGAAATTTGCTCTAGTTATGCTACTGAAATGTGCTTATTTTGCTGTTAAAATGTTATTCTTTGTCGCCACTATGTTTGTTTAAATATTTTGATTTTCTTGTGGGTTCCCCGCGGGTTCCCCGAAACCCGATGGGTTTAGGGGACGGGCGGAAAACTAGCCCCGCGCACGGTGGTGGGGACGGGGACGGGTTTGCGATTTTCTCGTGGGGATGGATTTGGGAAGGTAAAACCCGATGGGTTTCGTCCTCGTTGCCATCTGGACTTGTGAGGGGGACACTTGATATTCACTGTCTTTATAGGAGGATAAGGATCCATCTTTTTACCCCACGCCTTCTTCTTCCTCAGCCCATCCGCCCTTGAGCTCTAGCGCCCAAGTTTCAATCTTTTCCGTCCCCATCAAACACTCCATCCATGTCCGGATCCAGCACGCAGGGCAAGTGGATGGCTTCCTCCGTAACGGAGAAGGACATCAAGGAGCTCCGTGAGGCGAGATACTTGACAGCGGAAATCCAACACAGGCTCCCTGCCAAAGAGCAAGTCATTCCCACTCCGGAGCCCAGTGAGAGGGTTGTATTCATCCCTCATTTCCTCCGTGGACCGGGGTTTCCTCTCCACCCATTCGTTCGCGGTCTCATGTTCTATTACGGGCTAGATTTTCACGATCTAGCCATGAACTCCTTCCTCCACATCTCGGCATTCATCGTCATGTGCCAGGCATTCCTCTGCACCCCCCACACTTCGGCATGTGGCTCAAGGCTTTCAACGTGAAGCCGAAGGTGGTCGACGGAGAGCACGCGGATTGCGGCGGCGCCATGGTGAGCAAACTCCCCAACATTGCCTGGCCCAGAGGGGCCTTCATGGAGACCGTCAAGACATGGCAGCAGGAGTGGTTCTACATCACCGAACCCCGCGGCACCAAATGGGCGGCCGCTCCTGCTTTCAGATCCGGACCCCCGCTGCGGCTTGCATTGTGGACCAACAAGGGTCTGGACCGGGGATCATCCGACGAGGTGTTGAAGCTACAAAAGCGCATCAAAAGTATCATAGACAAGGACACCAGCCTCACTGACGTGATCCAAGTGATGCTCATCCACCGAACCCTTCCCTGCAAACGCCGGCCTCTTCGCATGTGGGAGTTCAATCCGAAAGGGCTGCAGACCCTGCAGAGATTCTTCGGCACGACACACGAAGCAATCTGGAAGCTGCTCTTCAAGACTCAAAAATCGTGGCCACAGATGTCCGAGGAAATTGGCCTTGATTGCAATCATCCAGTCTCCCCGGTAAGTACTAAATTTCCGAACATAACTTAGTTCATAAATCAAAGAAAGGGGGTGCACTGAGAATTCCATCCTCTTAAACAGGGCTAGACCAAGAAGGCGGAGCGGATCAGGTGTCCGGCTCCACTCCCCGAAAACCCAGCTGATCCTCTATTAACGAGGATGCTGGTCCCGGCGCCCTATCAAGCGCCAGAGAAGAAGGCAAAGAAGAAAAGCAAGGAGGCCAAAGGTGGCCTCCGCCGTAAAGGTTCTTCGGACGCAGCGTCCGGAGAGACCGAAACTCATTCCTCCCATGAGGAAGATGAAGAGGAGGAGGAGGAAGAGAGCAATTCTCCCCCGAAGCGGAGGAAGAAGAAAAGGGTGGCCTCTGTAGACCCAGAGGCGGAGGCGCCCAAGAGGGGGAAAATATCCCTCCCGAACGGCTCGGATTCGGATGCTGAAGCCATCCCCGAGTGGTGCCCTAGGCCGAAGCCCCTCGGCGCGTCGTAAGTATACGAGGGTGCCTTTCATATGCCCAATCTTTATGATTGTAATCTAACACACCTTTCGGTGCAGTCTAGCCTGTGATCTCCCCCAACAATCATCGGAGGGGAATTCTTTGGATCCGGGGATGATGGAGAGCGAGTCGCCTCCGCGAGCCTCCCCGCCTATCGCCACGGACGACACCGAAGTATTGTCCCGAAGGGCCTCTCTGGGCCAAGGAGCGGTACGGGAGGCCGCCGAAATGGCGCCAGAGGGTAATGCCTTGGGCGCCAAAAACACCGGGGGGGGGGGGACAATCCCCATGGAGACTGGCGGAGAGGGCCTTGATCAGTCCGGCCCCCAACCGAACACCGTTCCGGAAACCCAAGTGGCTCCGGAATCGAATTAGCGACCCCCTTCAAGGAAGGGGGAGCGCCAACTCCAGCGGCGACCTCCATTAATGCGGAGGCGCCGAACACACTGATGGAGGCACTTCAACGCGCTTCTATCGTGGAGGAGCACCGCACCCTGATGGGTGTGGTGGTTGAAAAGGTTCAGTCCGCCAAGAGCGGTCTGAACGAGGCCTTCACTAGCCTGTTAACAGGCTTCGAGGTATGCCATGTAATATTCATGACTGCTTTTCATATGAAAAATGTGCCTGTATATAGACAGT